TAATAACAAAATAATAAATAAATAATAATAATGTCGTAAGAGTCCCAATAAATACAAATATCTGCTTTAAAGAGAGAGAAACACTGACGGGAAAGTCTGTTGTCATGACGTCACAGAGCGATAGCAGCAGGCTAACGTCAGAGTTAGCATTGATGCTAACAGGTTTAAAAACTCGATATTAATGTGTTTTCATCGATTTAACCTCACGAGTCATCGCCTCGTTCACAGGTGTTGTCTGTAAACACAAACACAAAGCTAACACACACAGGTAAACACAGCTGGGATGCTAACACGGCTAACCTGAGCTAACACACACACACACACACACACACACACACACACACACACACACACACACACACACACACACACACACACACACACACACACACACACACACACACACACACACACACACACACACACACACACACTCACAGTAGTAAGCGACGACCGGGTCCCGTTTCTCGTGTTCCTGAGCCGTCCTCAGGTGGTGCTGGAGGGACTTGAGCTGAGGCGGGAGAGCCATTGTCTGTCCGGGAGACAAAAGTTCAGCAGCAGAAAGAAGCTCCTTGTTGTTGTTAGCAAGTGTCTGCTTCACTTCCGCGTCTGTATCCAATGGGAGCGGCAGCCTCCGCGGGACAGATGACGTCACTGCTGCCACTCCTGGTTTAATGACAGCTTCTTTGTAATGTTTGTAATATAGATTATTACACATTAGAGTATATTTATTTATATGTGACGTGTACATTTTCTATTTTATTATGAGGGACAAAAAATGACTGAAGTATAAATAAATTAATAGATAAATAAATGTTGGGAGAAATGCATACAATAATGTATAAATAAATAAATAATTAAATAAATGCATCAATAAATATATAAATAAATATATAAATGCTGAAAACAATACATCAGTGAATAAATAATAAATACACTTTGTTAATGAAAAAGGCTATTTATATATTTTTACATGTATTTATTCATTTATTAGCGTATTTCTACAGTTAATTATGTATCAATACATACATTTCCACATTAATTGAGTTATTAATTTATTTCCGTATTTTTCCATTTACACATCTATTTTTTTTGTGTCCAGGTCGTCAGAGGAAAAGTATTTATGTAAATTTGCTTCTGTCTGTTTTTCAAAATTGACCAATCCTACTTCAGTAATGTTAGGACGGCCCACTTAATTTACATATTTACTTTTCCTTGTACAACATGGACACAGAAATACATAAATAAATACATGAATATATTTATCTATATATTTATTTATATATTTATTGATGCATTTATTTAATTATTTATTTATTTATGCATTATTCATTATTCATTTATTTATTTATTTATTCATTTATTTATTTATACTTTAGTCATTTTTTGTCCCTCATATTTTATTACATCCCTCAATGTTTTTCAATTCAAATTCAAATTCAAAAAACTTTATTTGTCCCCGGGGGGCAATTCAAAGGCACACAGAGCAATAAATTAACAACAGTGCAAGTAGACGACACATTTTAAACATTTAAACATTTTAAAACTAAAATATAAAGTGTCAATTTAAATACAACTTAAAGCTTAAACTTAATTTAAAATACAAAATATAAAAAGAGTAGATATAAGTGGACAGTGATCGGACTAACAGATGTCTTTACTTTGGATACTTTACTTTTTTTTTTAAATAGGCTACTTTACAAAGTCCCTACAGACTTAGCTTCTGTCCTTAATGTGTTAGCAACAAGAGTCTGGACTCCATGTGGGGGGATTCATTCTGTCGACGCTCAGAAAAGACATTCTCCAAACCCATAACCCCGCCCCGAGAAAGGAGCGAGAAAGATCGAGTACACCAAAGCCCTTCCAGAGAGGGGGCGTGGTCAGACACAGCTCATTTACATATTTAAAGGTACAGACACAGAAACAGCCTGTTCTGAGCAGGGCTGAAATAGAGGGGTTTATAGACATGATCAAATACAGGATCAGAGTGGATTTAGAACAAGAAACTTCACACACATGTTTTGAGGAGCTCTGACACTTATTTGATCTGGATGAAGAAGAGGAGGAGGATATGTGACATTTAAAATCAACCCTCAGCTTGACTGGTAGCCAGTGTAAGGAGGCGAGAATTGGAGTGATGTGACATTTTTTGTTTTGACTGTTCTGATGAAAATCTGCATTTAAACATGTTTTTCACCATCAAATCTTTTCAAACCTGCGTTTCAATCGTTGATATTTAACATGAGACCACACACACTCTTTATGATGTGATGGTTTCCTTAACTTTAGATCCTACTATAGGCTGAGATGCATTGTGAAGATTGTTTGTACACAGCCTTTTTCAGCGGTGGGTAAGCGAAGGAGTGAGGAGGAATGAGATTGAACGTTGCACATTCAGAGGTCCCAGAGAGAACCCAGAATCCACAGCAGAGTGTGATAAACACACACACACACACACACACACTCACACAAAGGTGGGCTTATCTTCTGCTAACACCTGCACACGGACAGTCACTTTGTGTGAATTAATTCAGCGTATCACTAAACGTCCAGGTTTCCTTCACGGCTCCAACACTATGGGAGAGGACACGCTCTCATCCTGTAAGAATATACCAACAAAAAGCTGTCGATGTCTGTAGTTTAGAAACGAGGCGGATTCTGTTTCCTGTTCCAGTTTGAATCCATTAAAAAAAACATCTGAAAACTGTCAGCGCTGCTTTTTCCTCCGGATGATAATGAGTTGAAAGCACTTATTGAAAGGTAACAGGGGACACAGAGCTGCTGTAGGTGGAGGCTCTAACAGCCCGGGGCCAGTGTTTGTCTCGGAGGAGCTTTTAGGTGACTAACACCTGGTCGGAATCAAACCACACGTTGCACCTGTTGGATACTCCGGTGGTCTGACGAAGATAAAGGACGCTCACAGTAAACTATGATTCATGACAAACTTGTATTATTTTTTTAATTCCCGCCCCTGTGCCGGGAGGTTGGAGGATTAAAGTCGCCATCTGGAGCAGTTTGATTCTGGCACTTTGAGAAGCACACACACGGACTCCGAGAATTCACCGTGATTGGCACAGATGATTTGTTGTTTTTCTGTCACAGATGGCGAGGAGAGTCTCCTTAAAGCACGAGGAGGAACAAAATATGTTCATGAAGATTTAAAAAAAGTAACTTTTCATCGCGTACAGTTCAAGAAAATTCAAACTCGGAAGAAAGAAAAGAGAGTTTTCAGATGTTTTTAAAGGAGATCGTTTATACTCACTTTCACCATTAAAGGTCCAATCAGTGAGATCTGAAATGATAAAGGTATCTTACTCTCTGATCATTAAGGAAACATGCTATGTTGAAGTGCTGGCTTCTCTGACAACAATGCAGCAGCCAGTATGTCCTCCTTCTAACTTTAGATTCTGCTCCTGAATGCTCTGGATTTGTTTGGACCAGAGAAGGTAGGCGCTTTTAAGACACGCCCCCACACGGCCGTTTTGGACGCCCCTCGGTTTGTCAGATATGAGAGCAGTTATCAGGTCAACAGGTGTTGCAGCGATGGAAGCGGTCAAGAGAAGTGGTTCAGATAGAAGTGATTGTACCCGACCTAAAAAGCCTCTGCATGTTTCTAATAAGCTCCACGAGCAGAAACGTGCTCAAACTAGGATCAATATTGGAGATGCTTTTGAAAAATGGAGAGAGGTTAGAACACAGAAAGGTTTACAGACCCATGCAGAGCTGGATAAACACTGAAGCTTCAGAGTCCACCACATGGTGACCTGAGTGAAGAAAACGTGCAGCCAGCTGGAAACGTCCAAAATATTTGTCTTGCCTCTGACAAAGCAAACGGCCAATCATTGTCTTGGTATTTGGGGTGGTACCTCGGCTGGTCAATCAGATTTCAAGGGTGGGCTCATGCCCCCCCCCAAGCCACCCCTCTGGACACGCCCCCTGTCCTTTTGTATCAGCTTTAAACAGCCGCATAACCTGTTTTTTTTTTTTTTTGAAGAGATTATCTTTGTTCCATTTTATTTGTCATCTCTGATGTTTCTCAAACTTTTTCGAGCTCATTCATTTTTCTTTCTCTTGTCTCTCTCCGTGTTTATTGTGAAGCGACGCCAAGAAAAAGCCTCGAGTTCATTCTGTCTCACTTGACTCTGCTCTCTGTCCCCCGCAGGACCTACAAACTGGCATGAGTTTAGGATCCGTGAGTGGAAAAAAGAGGGGGAATGAACAAACACGCCGCCTGGATTACGTTGGTGTGTGACTTCCATTTTCTTTCACTTTGTCCGGGTTTTGACTCTTGGGGAGTTTGAAAGTTTTTCTTTCTGTCGCTGGACTGTGTTTGAGACAACAGCAGCTCCGTCAATGCACTTCCAGAAGTATTGCAGTGCAGGGTGTTTGTCATCTCTCTTTGTTTATTTTTCCTCTTTAACTTTCATTGTGTTAAAGTTCTTCTTTATCAGATCTCTAACCGGCTGAGTGAAAGCTTTGTGTCTGCAGGAGAAGGAATGACACGTTTAGACGATTATGTATTTGAATTTTAAACTGAGCAGAGACGACGGACTTTCTGAACAAAGCGTCAAATCTTCGGGATAAATTGCAAAAAAAATGATGAAAAAATGTTCAGTTGAGCTCCTTTTTCCAAGCTGGGTGCTTTGTATTTTGTTGCATGTTTGCCATCTCTGTCTCTGCATTGTGTGTGACAGGAGGTTGTGTTTTTTCGCTGACATAGTTCTATAGGGATTATAATACAGGGACCACATGCCCTCCCCGGGGCATTGTTGGCCCCTCTGTCTCTGTTGCTTTTTTCTACTGAGCGAGTCAATTGATGGAGGGATAAAGGGTGAAAAAAAAATATGCATTGACACGGGCTTTCAGGGCAGGGAGAGAGAGAGAGGGAGAGGGGTCAGTCGGAGAGTTTTTAGCCCTACTGTTGGTGGCCTTTGACTGGCAGCATCCAAACCGGCCATGAAGGCCCAGATCAGCCCCGGAGCTAAACCGACGGGCCAACCATGTCTTTAAACTACATCAAAAACTTCTATGAAGGATGCGTAAGTAGATTCTTAGTTGCTGATTTTATTTCATTCAGGAACTTTTTTTTTTTATCTCTGAAGATTTGACAGCAGCGATGTTAAACAATTCTCCCTCAGGAGGCTTAACATGTAAAGACATTGATCCTCTCCTCTTATTTCTGTGTCTGTGTTGCATGGAGACATTATTTCTGAGTGTGTCATTAAGGCCTTTTCCTGTCAGGAGAGGTGACGGGAGGCGATGGGAAATGTTTCCTCTGAATGGGTTTTGTGTTAGCACTCAGAGCTCAGGGCCTCGGTGTTGCAGCTGCATTTATCTGGCTGACAAAAGCTATTTTCTCTTTGTCTCTCACTGTGTGTGTGTGTCTGTGCGCGCACATCTGTGTGTCTCATGTTGGTGCCATGAAAACCTGAATGCTTGGTGTTCGCTTCATGCCTTACTCTCTCTTTTTGGCTGCTTATCTGTGGATATTATATAACATCTGTATAAGTGTACATGAGTGTCTACATCTTCTCCTTTCTGTCTCCGTGCTGACATAGGTATCATTGCATAATGAGGCCTGTTGCTAACTGCCTGCTTACCTGTGCGTCTCTGTGCATCTGTGTGTGTGTGTGTGTGTGTGTGTGTGTGTGTTCCAGCTCAGGCCTCCGACGGTGATAGGCCAGTTCCACACCTTGTTCTTCGGCTCGGTGCGGATGTTCTTCCTGGGCGTCCTTGGCTTCGCTGTCTATGGGAATGAGGCGCTGCACTTCAGCTGCGACCCAGATCGCAGAGAACTCAACCTGTACTGCTACAACCAGTTTAGACCCATAACACCTCAGGTAAAACTCAAAACCCCAACCAAACAACTAAACAACTATATAATGCAGATATGTACGGCTGTAACCCTTTCATTCTTCTGTAATCATTTAAAGTATGAAACTAATGACAGCCAATCTTAACCATGCAAGATAAGCACAAGCTGAATTCAGACGTTACATCTGCTGAAGCGACCTATCAGCAGCCATCTGACAAGAATTCAAGTTTTTTTCTGGTCAAAAGCTTTAAACACTAGCAACAAAACTAGCTAGCCAACTAGAAAGCCAACTAGCATTGAGAATTGTTGTGACCGACTAGACTAGTGCTAGTCAGCTAGTTAGCAGGTTAGCAGCTACCTTCAAGGCTTCAGTTCTTTCCCAACCCCCCTTGCAGGTTTTCACCCCCCCATTTTTTTCATGGGTGAACCAGGGATGAACTAGCTTTGCAACTCAATGGTGTGGCCAAGCTACTATGTTGGTGCCATTAGCATCTTCAACCCTGGATAACGCTGGATCAGCGTGTATGCCGTCCTAAAGGCATGTGGACTGAAAAAAAAAGTTTTCTGGTGTGTACAAGAAACTAACGCATGGTCACGAGAACATTTCTTGTGATGCCGAAAAAAAATCTTGTGCTCAACATAAAGTTGAGAGCAAACAGAATACTTTTCATTTCCCAACCTGAACACCACAAACTTTCTTGTGCCCACCAGACAGTTTAAGGTGCCCACGTAAAGTCTCTCAGTCCATGTCCCTTTGGTGGCGTCGTATTCCATGGTACATATTTGAGATGATCTGGAAACAGTGGATCATTACACATTTGTTCATGGTTGGGCACTGTTAGTGATGATATCCCAATCAGTACACATCGTACCAAAGAAAAGAGAAGGTTTCTCATGAAGTCCTTGTCCATTTTTGTAAGTTATTTGCTGAAGTAAAATGCAAATCCATCCATGTAACTTTTAAGGCTTTATATGTGATTTTTTGATCCAGTAGATGTCGCCCTTGAGCACCAGCATGAAACCAAAACAACTCGCGCTGCATTGTTGTGTTAGCATGCTAATGCTAGCGATCTTTATTATGCTCGTAACTTCACACTGCATGTAAATTTTACCTGAAATGAGCGTGATCTAGAAAATTAAGCAGTGAGTACAGTATGTTATTCTTCTTTTCTCTAGTCCCTCAATTAAACAACTTTTATACACGAGGGGAGGAGTCAGCCGGCCGTCCCGGTGATGTAAATAAACTGAAGATAGGACTCTGAAAACTCTGAAAACATCACAGACAGTGGAACTCGGGTGTTACACCCATTGTAGACAGTCATGATTGTCTACAAAATAATAAATACTGATATTGTTTAGGTGACTGTCAGACTATGCTATCCATCGCCACAGCTACTTTAGGTGCAGGTAGAACAAAATTGAAGGTTGCAATGCTACAAAAACAAATACTTCAAATCCAAAACGCCAGCAAACAGAACTTTATCTTAGGTTGATAAAGGCTAATATAAGATGTCATCATAATCATAAAACTAATACCTCAATCTACTCTCCATAATGGCTCCCAAACTACACTATAAGTTTGTTTTATTGGTACCATACAGGTTTTGTTATGCATATCAACATCCGCCATTTTGTTAAACATCAGCAACAAAGGTAAAGGAAATTGTATTTGGTAGATGAAAAACGTTTCAGCCATCACTGAGCTCCACTGGGTTCCCGTCAGCCTCAGTTATTAAACACCAAAATATTTCATTTTATTTATCTGGAATATCTGGTGGGCCAATATATAACCAATAGCAGTTACCTTCACTCACCCACTCCACTAAATGGATTTTCTTTCTCACTACCTTCCAATATATACTCCAGGACTCCTTAACTTTGTTTTGTCTACTGCAAGTGGCTTTTTAACACTCCTTCCCTCCCATCGTTCTGTCCTCTCCAGGTCTTTTGGGCGTTGCAACTGGTGACAGTGCTGGTTCCTGGGGCGGTGTTTCCACCTCTACGCAGCCTGTAAAAACATTGACCAGGAGGAGATACTTGAACGACCCATCTACACTGTCTTCTACATCATTTCTGTTCTTTTACGCATCATTCTGGAAGTCATCGCCTTCTGGCTACAAAGCCACCTCTTTGGCTTCCAGGTTTGTTGATTTCTAATGATTCAGATCTTGATTTGCCTCTTAACCCCTAACCCATCAGGACATAAGGGCTAAGGGAACCTGTCACACCCTTTAACCAGGGAATATCCTAAGTTCTTCCAAAGGTATTCGCAGGTCCCCCTTAGGCAAGCCCAAAGATACTATCCTTCCAGCGTATCCAATGGTTTAATTCCTAATTAGTTTACCTAAAAGTAGGAGTACTGATGTAGCCACCATGGTTCCATGCGTCTACCCTGTCTGGTTTAAATAAACTTCCACAGCTTGTGGGTGGCAGTAGCTCAGTCCGTAGGTGCTTTGCTTGGTACCGTTAAGTTGCCACTTCAAGACCTGTTACAGAACAAGTTTGGAAATTGGGCTGGTAGCTGGAGGGGGGCCAGTTCATTTCCTAAACACTGCCAAGGTGCCATTGTGCAAAGCACCAAATCCCCCAACTGCCCGGGTCGTCTGTCTGTGTAGAGCCCCTCACTTTGACATCTGTCCATAAGTGCATAGCCTTAGGGTCCTGTTTGTGCATGTTTGTATAATTTGGCCAATGTGTACAGCATGTCTAATCACCAGTGTGAAACAATAGCTGGGATTGGCTCCAGCCCCACTGCGCCCCCGAACGGGAAAGCGGTATAGATAATGAATGGATGGATGGGGTTCTTGAAGTCTTCTTCTTTCTTAAAATGGTGAATCACAGAACTCCTACATAAGCTGCATTTCCTCAAAGGTATTCAGGACTGAAAAAGAGGTGTTAAGAACCCAATACATTTGACAAATTAGTCTCCTTGTGTATGAAAGAGTCTTCTGAATGATTGAAGTATTGCAATGAGAAATGTTCATTGCAAAATGTTCCACAACAAAATCCCTTTACGCTCAGAAGGAACAACACCCAAAGCAGGGATCTTTTACAAGGTAAAACTAAGTCCTAGAACTTTATTTAGACCCTGGTAAGTCCCAAGACCTTGGCGAAAGGTCCTGCAGTGGAATAGCAAGGTGGTTCCTGGAGCGTGACAGTCACATCATGATACTAAATTAACATGTTTAATTCGCCTTATTACAACACAAAAGATTGCATGCACGCACTAGCTGAACCTAGGACCCAACTTGAATATCAATCACACAAACAAGCAAGCAAGGGTTGTACAATCAGTTCTTATTTGTTTGGATCATAAGTATTACCACCTCATGTTTCTTTCCTTTCCCCTCTAGGTTCACCCACTGTACATGTGTGATGCCAGTGCTCTGGAAAAGGCCTTCAATGTGACTAAGTGCATGGTACCCGAACACTTTGAAAAAACTATCTTCCTCAGTGCCATGTACACTTCACTGTGATCACCATACTTCTCTGTATTGCCGAGATCTTTGAGATACTCTGCCGGCGGCTCGGCTATCTCAACAACCAATGACACAAACACGCAAGCACACACAATGACAAAGGTTAAACATTTGTGACGCAATTTTAGCCCGTTTTATCAGGCTCTTGGTTAGCAGGAAGCTAGCAAAAGAGCAAAACAATACCTGTGGTTGGTCTGAAATATTCTCTAGGTGTTACTTGACTTAAACTATTGAGTGATCAATCCTAGCTGTATTTCAGATATCAGTCCTGTCTACTGGATGTGTCCAAAGGTCTTGTATGGAAGTGATGGTAAGAGAATATGCATCTCTGACTGTGAACTGTTGGTGGATGACATGGAAGGAGTTCTGGGTTTTTTTTTTCTCCACAAGATGGCCGAAAACAGTAGTCATCTCCAAGGTGCTGCTACAACCTGTGACTTTGTGGAATTTAAAACCCAGGACAGCCCAGTTTGTCATGACCTTGGTGCCCGTAACCACTGTAGTGTCCTGGAGTTGTATGCAGTCTTACATTAGGTACAGTTTGCTAGCGTTAGCTGTACCTACTTGTCATTTAACTGGGGGCCTTTTGGTCTGAAAAAAACCTTCAAAACAACCTGTAGAACAGAGATAGCCTTCTCACACAGGC